ATGGATGGGGGGGTCAAAGGTCAAAGGTCAGTGGCCCCTGTACAACACTGCAGAGCCACGTGCCCGTCAATAGCTCACTGTCACAGCCCACAAAACACTCAGGGTCCTCTGGTGTTGTGACTTTGTGATGTCTGCATTGACTAGAATCAGAGGAGGGAGAAGTACTCAGATCTTGTACTTGAGTAAAAGTAGAAGTACTCAGATCTTGTACTTGAGTAAAAGTAGAAGTACTCAGATCTTGTACTTGAGTAAAAGTAGAAGTACTCAGATCTTGTATTTGAGTAAAAGTAGAAGTACTCAGATCTTGTTCTTGAGTAAAAGTAGAAGTACACAGATCTTGTATTTGAGTAAAAGTTGAAGTACTCAGATCTTGTATTTGAGTAAAAGTTGAAGTACTCAGATCTTGTACTTGAGTAAAAGTAGAAGTACTCAGATCTTGTACTTGAGTAAAAGTAGAAGTACAAGAGTGTAGGAATACTCTGTTACAGTAAAAGTCCTGCATTCAAAATGTTCCTCAAGTAAAAGTAGAAAAGTATTCTCATCAAAATATAGTGAAAGTAGCGACAGTAAAAGTAGTCTTTGTGCAGATTGGTCCATTTCAGAATAATATATATGATATGTTTTATAATGATTGATCATGAAAGTGTTCTCAAAGCTGGTAAAGGTGCAGCTAGTTTGAATGACTTTGTATACTGCAGGGTAGCTTGTGGATTTACTCCAGGTGGAACTAAAGTCTGATTTAACACTTGATTATATTTCACATCATTCATCCACATCTGAGAAGTAACTAAAGGTATTAAATACATGTAGTGGAGGAAAAGTACACCATGTACCTCTGAACTGTAGAGGAGTAGAAGTACAGAGTAGCATGCCATTGAAATACTTAAGTAAAGTACAAGTACCTCAAAATGCCACTTAAGTACAGTACTCGAGTACATGTACTTAGTTACTTCCCCCCTCTGAGTATGAGGGTGTAGTTACGGTATGACAGTTGATTTAAACCCTCCTTTAGAGGAAAGTAACCTCCCGTTATTTAACGGTATGTTGGCTTCAGATCAAACAAAGCACCATCCGTCATGTCAGTAACTTTCAGAAACTAATTATAGCACTTCTTAAAAGCCTCGATCATTAATAATAGTTAAACGAGGGGACTTTCATGGGGAAAAGGTGGCAGTGTTTGATTGTTAGCAATGCTTCGGGGGATCTTACGGTGCACATGTGAGCAGACTGCCTGGAGTCGTCCCCCGGACAGATAAAAGCTCACCACATTAAGAGAACACAACGCTCCATAGGAGGTCGCTGAATAACAGCTAGCTCAGGGAGGGATACAAACTATGAAACACACACATTCATGGATTTATATATCGACGTTACGGGAGAGAATACTTTCTTTCCTGGAAGATATTAGATTTTTATCTCCTAAGAATATAAATTGATCCAAACATTTATTTATAATAAGGATTTGTTTCTTAATAAGAAGCTACACATTGCTAATGATGAGCCATTATGCTACACAACAACATCAGAGTGTGTGTCAAGCAGAAGATTAGAAAAAATACCTGCTTTCCCCTCATTTTGTGAACAATTGAGCTGCTCTGTGTTGAGTGTCTGGCAGCTAGCTTAAGTTAGCCACTTTTATTTGTGTAAAAGGCACACTTTCTATTTTTTGTAAAACATGAGAAACACTAAAAACTTTGGGGTAAAATGATTTATTTACGCGAGTTTTGCATTAATTATTGTTGCCTTTAGTCAATGTGTGTTCATCCAACGTTTTCAAGTATAACAACTCCATACACACTTTAATAGAGCTCAATCAAATCTGTTTTCTCAATTCATCCATTGGTCTTTAAATTGTTACAAATTTAGAAAATGTCTCTAAGAAGTCCAAAGTGATGTCTTTAAATGTCGTTTTTATCAGTAAATAACCCAAATATATTCACTTTAATATGATATAAAACAGAGAAAAGCAGGAAGTCTCCATATTTGAGACTCCGAAAACAGCTTTTTCTGATATTCTGCATGAAAGATTACACAATTATTATAATACTATTCTCGTTCTGATTAAATAATCTTTGCGTTTCTTTACTTTTCTTTGCTTTTAATGCAATCATTTTCTTTAAAAAAAAAGCACCTGTACTGTGTCTGCTGAATCCAAATCCATTTCTTAATCAAATCTTAAGATACAGATGCACTCACTCTTCACTGAATCACACAGAGTTGCTTTAATTCCTCACATATCACACTGTATTAAAGCATGCAGTGTCAGTGCAGAGTGCACAGCTGCAGTCAGAGTGAAATCTATCCTCTCTGCTCAGGAGTTTAAATCTAATCTGTGCCCTGCAGGCGAGTCAGCTGGGAGTTTATCGGGCCTTTGTGGATAACTATAAGGTCGCTGTGGAGACGGCGGACAAATGCTGCCAGGCGAACGCTCAGTTTGCACAGATATCTGAGGTATGTGATCCCAGCAGGAAAACATTTGATGTTGCACAGCTGCCCGAGAGAAGTGATGACGGGGCAGTTTCTCAGCAGAGGAACAGCCACGCAGCTCTTTATAGCCGCGCTGATTGTTTTAATTGCGCTGTGGGGGAGTGATTTAATGAGGGGGGGTTTTTTCTCTTCCCTTACCAGAATCTCAAGGTCAAAAGCACAAAGGACTGCAAAGACCAGGCGGCTAAAAACTCACTGGAAAGTGAGTACTGAGTGAAGTTAATGGCCTGCTTTTACTTTAAAGAGTCCTCTCCTGCTGATGTTCAGGTGTATATCAGTATGTAGTGTCTCTACTTTAAAGAGTCCTCTCCTGCTGATGTTCAGGTGTATATCAGTATGTAGTGTCTCTACTTTAAAGAGTCCTCTCCTGTTGATGTTCCGGTGTATATCAGTATGTAGTGTCTCTACTTTAAAGAGTCCTCTCCTGCTGATGTTCAGGTGTATATCAGTATGTAGTGTCTCTACTTTAAAGAGTCCTCTCCTGCTGATGTTCAGGTGTATATCAGTATGTAGTGTCTCTACTTTAAAGAGTCCTCTCCTGCTGATGTTCAGGTGTATATCAGTATGTAGTGTCTCTACTTTAAAGAGTCCTCTCCTGCTGATGTTCAGGTGTATATCAGTATGTAGTGTCTCTACTTTAAAGAGTCCTCTCCTGCTGATGTTCAGGTGTATATCAGTATGTAGTGTCTCTACTTTAAAGAGTCCTCTCCTGCTGATGTTCAGGTGTATATCAGTATGTAGTGTCTCTACTTTAAAGAGTCCTCTCCTGCTGATGTTCAGGTGTATATCATGTCTCTACTGTGACAGACACTACAGAAAAGGGAAAACTCACAAAAGTTACAATAGGTCCTCTTTAAAGCGTCTAACAATGACTCATATCACAGATAGATGTAGGCTGTGTTTAGTCCTTTTGTTCCTCAAACTAACTTTCTTTTGTTATTCTTGGCATGTGTTTTTGTTTGGTTCTTTATACAGAGGCGTGATTTATAGACATCATTCCACCTGAGCTGTTTTTTTGTTTAGTCTTGAAGAAAAAGGTGTAATAACAGAATACAGTTTCTCACTTTCTCTGATTAAATTGCCTGCTACATCCTGTATATCCCTATGTTTGGTCTGAATTCACAATACTCTGTATACAGAAGTCATCTATTATTCTGTCACACACACACACACACACACACACACACACACACACACACACACACACACACACACACACACACACACACACACACACACACACA